GAAGAAAAGCGGTGAACTCAAATATGAACCGGAATATGTATCCAAATGGACACAACTCTCAGCGAGTATTATTTAAAGAAGCAAAGACTTTGAGCTTCGTGGGGCAGGGTGCCTCACTTGACAGGGGGTGGGGGAACATTTTTAGTCTCTGCACAAAATTACTAAAACCTACGGAAGAATACTGTTGCATTCTCCCCCCCCCCCATAGGATGGAAGGGGGGTGTTCTTTCTCCTAGATTTGTGTAAAAAAGGATTTTGCTGTGAACAAAAGAAAAGAGAAAGGGCACGTTTGAGAGAAGGGGTTCAAGCAAGCACAACAAGCCCCTCATTCCTTGTAAGGGCTTTCCAATCAGTTGACCCTTAAGGAAAGTTTTACTGAAAAGCTAATAAATTACCTTTCCATTTATTGGGATGTTATGAAATAAAGAGGATCAGAAGTACCTAGGAATAGGCATGAATATGAAATTCACCAGAACATTGGTATCATAAGGGTGGTCAGGTACAACTCTCTCTAATGGGAATGGTTTTGATTTCCTTTCCTCTTGTAACAAGAGAATCATCTAGGAGTTCACGTGATGGCAAGAGGCTGGCTTCCATCCCCGGTTTCCTCAAGAGCTCTTCCCGGACTGGCTCTCCCTTAATGTTGAGCCGTTTGCTGTGACTTTGTTATGTTACTGCTGATGAAGGGATGAAGAAATTAAAACAGAGGATGCTTCCAGGCAGTTAGGAAGAGGCTTGGCCAGCTACATTAACTCCTTATTATCCTTCAAATAGTTGCCACTTCCTGTTGATGCCTGGTCCCTGCCGCTCCGTGGCTGCACTTATCCTCCAATGGTCAGGAGGCCCTCGTTTCAAGGACTGACTAGATTAAAGCTGACTTCAAACACCATATCCCTTCCCCTTTTGCCTTGCTACGTTTCCCAGCAGGGCAAATGGGGGGGGGGGGGGGGCTTCAGCCTTGGTTTACCCAACAGGTTAAAAAGACCAAAATCATCGTTTGTTTTGTTTTAATCTAAGTGTCTCAACATTATTGAGTTATTTTTTCCTGGACTGAGAGAAGAGTATTTAGTGTATTAGGGAGTGGAGTCCTATGCTTGATAAAAGAGGAAGGAGGGAGAGAGGGAGGAAGGGAGGAAGGAAGGAAGGGGAGGAAAGAAAGAAAGAAAGAAAGAAAGAAAGAAAGAAAGAAAGAAAGAAAGAAAGAAAGAAAGAAAGAAAGAAAGAAAGAAAGAAAGAAAAGGAAGGGAGGAAGGAAGGAAGGAAGGAAGGAAGGAAGGAAGGGAAAGGAAGGAAGGGAAGAAAAGGAAAGGAAAAATAAAAGACAAGACAAAACAGACTTCTGTATACAATCCCCACCTAGGGATGGTAGAAACATGTGTTGCTTCCCCCCTCGAATCCACTGTAGACCCAGCACATTGGCTCCCTCTGTTAGGAAAGATTTAGATGCTCTCACAGTCTGGGAATGGGGTCAGGGAGAGGCAAAGTGTTCAATCTGAGGACCTGATTGGCTTTGCTTTCATAACTTTGCTTTCATAACTTCATAAAGTCCAGGTTTGAAAAGATCTGGAGTAGGGGCCTCTAGTCTAGATTACGCTTAATTAATATTCTCCAAGTTGGACAGTCTAGAAATAGTCTGTGAAGCTCCCAGTGGGCATCACTGTGGACATCCATGTTGGAGTTCCCTAGCTATGTGTTCTTGGGGCCCTGAACTGGAGAGATGAAGGAGATGTTTCCAGACTTTAGTGAGCCTCTTTCTGTGTGTAGAGTTTTGGGGAGCCTGGGAGGATCTGGAGGAGCCTGAGAGGATAGGGTGTTGATATGAGCATTATGTTTTATAACTCAGAGAAAATAATGCCATAATCCTAGTGCTTCCTTGCCTCATCCGATACTTTTGCCTGCCCCTGAACATACCGTCACTGATTTGGGCTAAGAGAGGGAAAGAGGCAGCTCTCCTGTTCCACTCCCAAGCTTCCCCAGGTGTAAGTGTTGGGGGAGGGGAAAAGCACCCGGGTTTCCAGGACATCAAGCACCCTTTCCCTACACAGGTACACAAACAGAATTTTACATTGAATGGGGGAAAGACTAGCAGGAATTTTTTCCACCAAGGTCTCCTCTTGAGAAGGAGGTTCTTAGCATGGCTATGTAAATCAATACCGAGTTATTTCTTTGAATTCAAAGGCTATTTGTTGAGGTCTAATTTCCTTAGAATTAAGGTGATAACTGAGCCCAACTTAGCAACCAAACCCAACCAGGGCCTGCCTGGAATTGAATGCGCTTCTCCAGGGCGCAGAGGCTGCAAACCCTCATCAGCACCCAAAGGGAGCATGCTAGCTAGCATCCCTCCATAGCTAAAACAACAGGGAGTTTCCGTCCCAAAGATCCCATTCCTCCCACAGTGGCCTTGGGCTCGACCCACGCGGTCTTATCTTGACAATCGTTATTTTTCTCTAAATAACGTGGACAGCTGGAACACAAGCCCCCAAACCTCGACATCTTTAAAAGCAAAAAAAAAAAAAGAAAAAAAAAAAAGCAATATAGGCCTCAAAGTCTGTCTTCTATAACTTCTTAGTGAATATGACCTTTCCTCACCTACTACGGGATCTGAAAGAGCCTTTTGGCCTTCTACTCCCGCTGCCGGCTTCACTTCTATTTTGAATGATAAAGACTGCGCAGGACTAGCCTCCCACCCTCAGGAACTGGCCGGGGTTCCCCAGCGGGCAAGACAAAGAAGTAGGAGCCAGGGCCCGGCGGGCGGCCAGCCGAGCACTGGGGCCTGGAGGCCCTGAGACGTGCGCCTTCGCTGCGAGGCCCTGAAGAAGCCGAGAGTTCGTGCCTCTCAGAAGGGCCGGAGGTGCGCGCTGGACCAGAACAAACAAGGGCTGACTCGCCGAGGCTCATGACCACCGCTCTCGACGCACGAAGGACTCGGCAGCCGAGATACCGGGTTCAGTCGGAGAGAACTGACCGCGGGGAGCGGCCCCTTCGGCGGCCAGCTACCGCGCAGCGAACTCCTCCAGCGAGGCTGGTGGCAGAGGCCGCACGTGGCAGCCCCTCGCTGCGCGCCCCCTTGGCGCACCGCGTGGGGCCGGACTAGCTCTCTGGCTCGCCGCTCCCGGGGCTGGCCGCAAAGCTGGACGCTCAAGCAGTGTGGCATTCTGTCCAGTACAGTCGCACCGAGACCGCAAACAAGGCGGGAGGGACCCATCGCTCGATCGGCTCCCCAGCCCCTGCCCGACTGGGCTCAATCTGGTTCTCAGCAGGACCTTTACCACTGGCAACAACTTCGGTGTAACTACACACTTGCGCCCCTGGAACACAGTGCTGGGGTCTGACCCTCTACTGGGGGTGGGATGAGAGCCCTGCAGCTACAACCCTGACGATTCTTGCTCTCCAGGCTTCCTCAGGAATTGACAAGGGGTAGGGGGGAGGCTGTGAATAGAGGCTGCTGAGCCCTGGGTCTGGTGTTCGGTGCGGGGACCTTCTCGAGTCCCGCCACGACCCGACCTGCTCCGGGTGCGGCCAGAGTTGGGGAAGCCAGCGAGGAAAGCGGTGCACCTGCGAGCATAAAGAGAGAAACATAGACGTGCACGGGGTTGGGGGTCGGGCGTGGGGAGAGAAACGCCTTCACCGCGTTAACAGCAAGCTGCAGGGGATAAAGCAATAAAACTGCCACGTCTACCTGCTGGCTTGGAGGACATCACACACAAGACCGGCGTGAAGCCCGGGTGCACTGAGAGCCGGCCGGGGACGTGTGGGGGGGGGGGGACCTTTTCTTTTTCTGACCTCCCTTCTGCTTCCCCCATATACACACCCTACACACATCTCCCCCTTACCCAGCCCACCTTTCATTTTCCTGGAAGGTTTTTTGTTGCTGTTATAATTCACTGCCGATGTGTAAACGCGTGGATCGGGTTACTGGTCCGCGTGTTAAAGTGCACCTCTTGTTAAAAGAAGGGGAACAAGGCGCTCCACTTAAAAATGAATTCAGAGTTACTGAACCGGCTCCCGAGGCTCGAGAAGTTAAGCGCGGCGGGCTGGGGAAGGGAGGGGAGGGGAGAGAAAAGGCTGCTGTCCTGAGAACCCTGGTGAAAGCCCACGGACAGCGAGCTTCAGGTTATGTGATAAAATGGAGGAAGGAAGGAAAGAAAAAGGCAAACTAGCCTGGCGACGCCTGGAGACCCCGGGCAGGGCGCTGGGTAAATCAATTAGCATTAAGCCGATGCTGCGGAGCTGCGCACAGTGTGTCAGCGCAGTCCAAGCTGCGGCTACAGCAGACACCTTTCCTGGCGTTACCGGGCGAGCGGTACCACTACCTTGTCAATTTCTCCGGTTCCTTGGGTCGCGTAACTTAAAGAGTCCAAGCGAACAGTGTGCACGGAAGTCCCCAGTAGTCTTCCCAAAGAAAGACTCAGACTCGTCCCTGCAACCTCTAGACGTGTTGAGCTGGAGATTGTTAGA